ATTCTTCCCCTACCAGAGCTCACAACTGCTACAGGTGAGTTGTGTGTAGTGGAAAAAGTAGGGGTGATTGCTTCTTTTATATGATTTATGCCTTTGCCTTCCTCCTCCACTTACTAGGCTGCTTCTGACTTTTCCAGGATTGATTTGGGAAAAGAAGATAAAGGACAGGAAGGGTCTTATTTAACTAGTACTGCCATGAGATTGCATAGGCCTTCCTTGGACATCTTACTCCCAAAAGATGCTTTCCTGTGTTCTTCAGAGTCACTACTTTACCCCTATGCATCCAGCTGTCCAGGATCCCTGTTGGAGTCATCTTGAAGTCTCTGCTGACTTTCTCTCATCTAAGATCCACATCTGCTCCAGAGGAAATGTGCATCCTTTTGTCACAATAAACTCTGGGAGTAAGGTAGTCCCCAAAGTATCCACCTTTCCTAATCAACTTCAGAGCAGTTAACCAGCCAAAGTACTCGCTTTTCAGATTTCTAGAATTGAGTCAAATAGTCCACCATATCTCACAAATTCCAGGAGATGTATACTAAACTTTCCAAGTGATCCCTCTGAAGACCCTTTTGCTTGTCTTGAGGTGTGGGACTTAGCATTCTAACAGTTCTATCAAAAACATCTTCTCTTCTTCTGGTCTTCTATCCCCATCCTCTAATCCCTCCTATCCAACCCTATTATGTCCTCAATGTACATGAGGAAACATATCAGTAAAGATTTTAACTACTCACACACAAAAACTTTTATCTAATACTTCCATTAACTGAAATTTCTAGGGGCCTAGTTCTGTTGCATGGTTTTCCTACTGGCTCTTGTTCATGGTGGCTTGCTGTTGGGTGTTTTTTGCAGTTTGGGGTTGTGAATTGTTTGATAGGACTTTATCTCTGGGCATTTTGAGGAGTCTTTGTTTTAATGTGTTTTCTTTTAGAGAGAAGGTGCTTGCTTCTTTCTACCAACCCAGATGCAACTAACCGGGCACTACATTATGCTATTATCTTGGAATGGGGTTTCCTAGATCATGCACATTATGTGAATTCAAATCCTAAATCCATTTGATGGCATGGCTGTGGTTTCAAAATGTCAGAGGAAATTCATACACACATCTGTCTAAAGATCCCATGCCAAGACAGACAAGTCTCTCTTCTACATCTTCCCCGTTTTCTGCTCTCCAGATTTTTCTTCTGGCCCACTTTTCACTGAGGGTGTTACCTTTCAAGGTTTCTGATTTCAGATGAGAGTCTCAGTTCTAACTTGGGATCTTATGAGAACTTAAGAGCATGTCTTCTGTTCCCACAAGACTGTTAAAATTCACATCTTTTGGTAGGTGAGATGGGTAAATGCCTCCAGGACAGTAGTGGCGTAAGTGTCAGTTAATAATCTAGTTTTCAGCTCCTCCTTATTTTCGGCCTATTAGTATTTTACATACTTTTTTGCAAGCTCAGCTATGTATTCTGAATATTTTTATAAAAGTATTTTAACCTGTAGCTAGCCCTGATCTAGTGTTTAAAATTCGGCACTCTCACCACCACAGCCTGGGTTCATTTCCCAGGCAGGGAACCACACCACCCATCTGTCGGTTGTCAAACTGTGGCGGCTGCATGTTGCTGTGATGCTGAAAGCTCTGCCACCGGTATTTCAGCAAGGTCACCCACGGTGCACAGGCTTCAGCAGAGCTTCCAGACTGGACAGACTAGGAAGAAGGACCTGGCCACCCACTTCCAAAAAAATTGGCCATGAAGACCCTAGGAATAGCAGTGGAGCATCATCTGATAGAATGCTGGAAGGTGAGAGGGTGACACAAAAAGATAGGTCAGGGTTCTGCTCTACTGTACACAGGGCTGCTAGGAGTGAGAATCAACTCAACAGTACTAACAACAAATTTCAACCTGCAGTTCTTGGTGTTTTGTCGCAGGATTTTTAGGTGTATTATCTATGAGATATGAAACATTAAATGAAATAGAATCACAAGTTTCAAGTTTTCAAATCTAAAAATATCTTCTGTGAAATAATATTTTTATATACGTATCACATGGGAATGAGAATCAGGAATCATGTTCTAGTACTGATTTTGTGGGTAGATAACCTAACATTTCTCAAACTATTTTATTATCTTTAAATTAGAGCACTGGATCAAGGGATCCCTAAGATTCCCTCAAGTTCTAATATTCAATGAGTCTATGAAGTAAAAATGGTATTGGTGAAGGAACAAGATGTAATAGTACTCATCATATTCCTAACACGAACCCGCTATTCACTATCTTTCACTATACCTTGCTCATACCTCAAATTATCCTTTTGTTGACCTGAGTTTTTTCTTTTGTTTTTTGTCATAAAAAAACACACACATAAAATTTACCTTAACCATTTTTAAGTGTACAGCTCTGTCATGTTAAGTATATTCACACTGTTGTACAACATCAACTTTTAAACTTTAAGGTTTAGGTTACTTACTAGCAAAGTATACATCTATTTCTACCATCTCTACTTTGCCTTCACTCATCTCTTCTTCGTTATTCCTTTCTTCCCCTTAATACATGGCTGGAACACTGTATCAAGGGAGAAATGCTACAGCCTAAAATCATCTAAATGAAAGTCTAAAACTCAATTTCTTGTGTTTTCTTATTTGTCAGTTTCTTGTGTTCATACTGCTATGGATTGAATGTTTGTGTCCGCTCAAAACTTACGGGCTGAACTCCTAAAACTCAACGTAATGGTATTACAAGGTGGGGCCTTTGGGAGGTCATTAGGTCACGAGATGGAGCCCTCATGAATGGGATTAGTGCTCCTAAAAACTAAAAAAGAGATACCACATAGCTCTCTAGCCCCTTCCACCATGTGAGGACACAGCAAGAAAGTGCCAGCTATGAACGAGGAAGAGGGCTCTCATCAGAATGCAATTATGCTGATGCCTTGATCCTGGACTCCCCAGCCTCCAGAACTGTAAGAAATAAATTTATGTTGTTTAATAAGCTACTTGGTCTGTGGAATTTTGTTACAGCAGCCCAGATGGATTAAGACATATGCCTATTTTTTCCTTGAGCCTTTTTGCTGGATTAACTCACAATTTTGGAGTCTATGAACCACATATATTTGACTTTTGCAGTGTGAATATAAACTATTTTTTGGTAAAATATTAGAAAGTTTAATCACCTTTCTCAAAGATCTCTTTCATACGCAAGTATAGTCATGTTTCAATGAATGATAGGGATATGTTCTGAGAAATGCATCGTTAGGCAATGTCGTCGTATGATCAGAGTACACTTACACAAACAGATGGTATAGCCTACTATACATCTAGGCTATACGGTACTAATCTTATGGGATCACTATAAATATGTGGTCTGTCATTCACTGAAACATCGTTATGTGGTACATGACTTTAATATTCTTTTGAAATGCCTATGCTGTCATCATCTGTGTTTTTTCTTTTTGTATTTTTAATAGGCTTGATTTTGCTAGATTCTCCTTTGCCAATGGTTTTGCACGTGATTTAGTTACCCAGAATAATTTGCATTGACTTCAGGAATTCCTCAATATTTACAAGACTTTCAATTTCACTTTGCAGTGATTAGCATTACAGTCTTGAATGTTTACAACATCAGCACCTATACAAAGATGTCATTGCGATGGCCTCAGACAAAAGCTACTCTTGAGTGGAGAAGGAATGTTTAAGAATGTCTAATTTTGTGAGGCACCTAATTTGCTAAAAACATATTTTTATGTCATGATTATTTCTTCTTCACTATGCATCATATGGTGGTGAGGTTAAATAACACTCAGAAATTGAAGTCCTTTCCTCTTCTGTTAGTCACAAGAGTATTCCTTCAACCAGATGATCTCTTTCATTAAAATCAAATTTTACTTCTGAATCTGTCTTATCACTTCTATTCAGAGGTCAGCTCTTTAAGGATCAACATCCTAAATCAAAGGACCCCTGGAAGAATACAATTTTATACAACTAATCCTTTCAGTGGGGGAAAAATGAAACTTTGTCTGTGGTCCTTGTAGGAAAAAAAGTAAGCCTGACTGAAATTTCCAATTGCCATTGATTTAAGGGACAATGTGAAAAGAGCTTAAGTAAAATAGATGTATTTTATCAATTTCAAAATGCAGATTTTTCTCTACATTAAAAAATTTCCACTATCAGGGTGGATGTTAAAATCAAGAGTTACAATTATAATAAGCAGTTTCTTCCTCTTCTGTCAGCTGTACCTAAATAATATGCCTTATGACCCATGGTGTTTTAAGTTAGAATCTAGTCTATAATTCTAATCTAAGTAATAATGTACTTCTATTAACCAAAATATTAAAGGGAAGCAACGGCTATGCAGAATGTGCAACTTTGAAGTGGACGCAGTCCATGGATAACAACAGTAATAGCAATACATAGTCGTTACTACTTATTTAATTCCTACAATAACGCTTTTTAGGTAGGTTACTTTTATCAGCCTCTTTGCTGTCACGGGTGAGGACACTGAAGCAGTGAGGTTAAATGACTTAACCTCCTAACCACGTGTGAGGGCCAGCAGCTCACACACACCGGATGAATTAGGTGCTTCTCATGGATACAAAGTTTCTACCCGCTGGTAAACAGAAACAAGCGCTATTCTAGATGAAGCTTTCTATGAAGACCTACTGTCAATTCCTAGTATAAGGCTATCTCCTTATAAAGCAAACAGCCATAGTTTTCCTCATTAGGATCCTGTGATGGGACGCCTGGGGGGAGCGGTGCTTGGCGGCCCAGGGTTCGCAGGTGGGATCCCGCCAGGACACAGCGCCGCTCATCCAGCCACACTGTGGCAGTGACCCACAGAAAACAGAGGAAGGCTGGCAACGGATGCTAGCTCAGGGCCAATCTTCCCCACAAAAATTTTAAAAAAGATCCTGTGGTAGACAGAATAACAATGCCCCAGAGATGTTCACATCCTAATCCCTGAAACCCATGAATATGCTACTTTACATGGCAAAGGGGCTTTGCTGATGTGATTAAAGGTACAGACCTTGAAACGAGAAGAGTATCCTGGATTATTCAGGTGGACCCAATCTTATCACACGAGCCCTCAAAATCAAAGAATCTTTCCCAGCTGCGATCAGAGGCAGATGTGATTACGGAAGGGTCGGACGTGCAACACCCCTGGCTTTGAAGAGGGGAGGGAGGTGGCCACGAGCTAAGGAACGTGGACAGCCTCCGGAAGCTGGAGAAGGCCAGGAAACGGATCTCCCGTCGAGCTCCGAGCGCGTGCAGCTGCGCCTCCACGGCTGCCTGGACCCGCGCCGCACTCCGGCCTCGCGGAACGCAGAGCAAGCTCGCGCGGCCGGGAGGACAGCACCTCGCGCGTCTCCTGCCACGAAGCCCGTGGTGGCTTGTTACAGCGCCCTGGACCCAGCACAGGCCCATTCGGGCTGACCCAGCTCCAGGAAGCGCCGTGCGGGCCAGGCGGGCATTCCGACACGTGCAGGGCCCCGTGTTGGATGAACACTGTACAGCGCATGGAGAAGCGTTAGGTAAACCGTCTCCATTAACCCGTTGGTGGCAGGCTACCCCGAAGATGCCCACAAAAGCAGCTTCATGATTTGCTTAGCGTCTTCCCGTCACGGATCATCCAGACGGCCGGCAGCCTCAGACGGCACACGGAGAACGCGGCGAATCTTCAGCGTTTCACCTCGGCCTTGCGCCCAGGCGCCGGCGGCCGGTTCTGCGCCCTCAGCAGTCGCGTACGCCCGGCGACGCCTCAGCATCGAGGGCATCGCCGCCTCCCAGAGCGCCCGCGCGGGCGGCGACACGACGAAGCGCCCAAGCGCAAACAGAAGCCAGAGGCCACGACCCGGGCACGGCGGTCTCCCGCCAGGCCGCCACCCTTCTCGCTGGCCCTTAAAGCACCACAGCGGGTCCGAGCCCGCGAACACCTCCCGGGCTCTCTCCTCGCCGCCAGATCAACACCAGGCAGGCAGGCCACATCAAACCTCGCGATACTTGCAACTCGCACGGACCTTGTGTTACAGGCTTCCGGGCGGAGAGACGGCCGGAACACTGCCCCGCCCTTGTAAAAAACAAGATTTTGTTCTCGCGACATTCCGATGACAGTTCGGAGCCCGTTCTCGCGGGATTTTCCAAGTCAGGGTGGAAGTTGCGGCGGGTGCTAGAGGAGGCTCAGCGCTGAGAGGAAGGGTGGGGGGTCGACATGCCCGTTGTGGGTCTTGCCCCGGCGGCGGAGCCCGGGACGATTAGGTGAGCGCCGACTTGCCAGCTTGCATAGCGTGCTCCGGCTCTGCCGTTGCCTCGGACGCCGCCATCCCGCCTCCCTGGGCCCCGCCGGCTCCGCCTTTGCTCCCTCCCGTCCCGTGGCGTCGGGCTCCGGGCGGGCGATGCTCGGAGGGCGGCGGGAGCGGGTGTTGGCCGCGGTCCGCCCGCCGCCTCCTCGCGCGCTCCGCCGCCGGTCGGGCGTTCAGGGCAGCCGGGCTGCCAGGCCCCTCCCCCTGGCCAGATGGATCCCTCTGCCCCGAAGGCCCGCGCGGAAGCCGCCGGCAAAGGTATGAGCTCCGAGCTCGCCTCTCTGCCCTGACACCTGTCCTCCCTGCGCCGGGCTGGTCCCCTTCCCGCCAGTTCCCTCGGGGTTAGGGTTTGGGCCTGTGGCTCCTCTGAGTGACAGCTGGAGATCGTCAACGCCCTCCAGGGCAGGGACCAGTTGTTTACGGTCAGTCCTGAGAACCTGGATCTGGAGTCAGGCTGCCCTTGGATCTGTGCTGGCTCTGACAGTTACTTGCTGAGCAGCTGGGCGATCTCCTCATCTGTAAAGCTGAGATCGTTGCTGAGCTCTTGTGATTATTCAATGAGAAGGTGAATGTCAAGCACTTACGTGACCCAGCGTCTAGCCCATAGTAAGCGCTGAGTAAATATTTGATATTTTTATTCTTTATACTTGTATGCTCCAGTTCAGAGTGAATGGGAGAAGTTTGTTGTTAAGTAGATGAATAAAGGTTGCGATGTCTAGTTCAGTTTACTAATTACACAAAGAGCTTAATATATGATGTACTGAGTCAGGGCCGTCACCGAGAGAGGGTTTAAGGAGAGTGTGGTTATCTGCCACAAGTCCTGTAGGATGCCTTCCTGTTCCCAAATTAATGGACTTCATTATGAATAGTGATATAACAAAAGCTACCCTATGTTCAGTGCTTGTTCTGTGCCCAGCAATATGCCAGTTGTTTACCTACACGCTTTCCTTGGAGGAAGATATCGATCTCATTAGATAGATCAGGAATATCATTAATCGCATTAATAGGAGGAATTCAGAGCTAAAGTTCAGAGAGTAACAAGCCTCAACTCTGCAGGCTAGGAATTGATGACACTGTAATTCAGGGACCACAAATGTAAACACCTACAGAAACCTGGTAAGTGAAAAAGATCGATGAAACTCCTGAGTGGAGTTTACAGGGGCTGGGGTGCTCATACCTCAGTCAAAAGGGTCGGAGTCACTCAGTTCCAGGGAATTGGTCATTCACGTGTGAGCTGGTACAGCTTGGTAGCTACAAGGTCGGTTAGCTTGTTTCAAATCCAGGCTCTGTTGCTTTCCAGCTGTCTGACCATGGGCAAGTTGGTTAACCTTTATCTGTTTTACCATTTGTAAAATGGAACTAATAATATCAGGTATGTGAAGTAATAAAAGGGTTGTTGTGAAGCTTAAATGAGCTACTACATCTAAAGCACATACCAGCACACATAAGCTTTCAAATGTTAGTTATATATGAATATTTGTTAATTTTACAGGTATTTGTTTCGAACATTGTTCTAGGTCCCTAGGATATAGCAGTGAGCACAAATTAAGTCTCTGCTGTAGGCAGCTTATATTTAAGTTGAGATAAACAGTAACAGATATTCATATTTTTCTCTGAAAATAGAATCAAGCAGAGTGAAGGAAGAGAGTGGCAGGGGATGCTATTTTAGATCGGATGGTCAGAGAAGACACCTCTGAGGAGATGCCATTGGAGCAGAGATCCAAGTGAAGAGACAGAATCAGAAAAGAAAGCCCAGGAGCCTGGAGTGGGAGCTGGTTTGCTGTGTTTGAGGAATAGCAAAGGAGGCCAGTTTGGAATGAAAGAGGGAGAGAGGTTAGGATATGAAGGCAAAGAGGAAGACAGAGACCAGATCATGAGGAGCCTTAGCCCCAGCCCCTCCATCAGTCCAACAGGAAATCCTCCCAATTTAAACTGTTTGTTCTGAAGTTTGAATACGTAGAGATTCCAGCCCTAGTTCAAGCTTAACTGAATCTATTTAGTTCTAGAAATTATCCAAACTCAGGAACCAAATACCGTTTCATAATCTGTTGTGTGAAGCCCATAAGGCTTTGTACATGCTGTGCCCTCTGACTGAGAACTCCTCTTAGATCTCCTTCCCTTTTATATTGTGTCCTCTGTGCTTCTTTCTCATAGCACTCTGTTCTCTTCTTCCAAAGCACTTATTATAGTTTCATGTTTGTGAACTTTGAGTATCTATCTCCCTCACTAGAAATCAAGGATCTGTGAGGTCAAGGATGTGTTTTCGTTAATAATTCAGCATGTTTATTGAGTGCCTACTGTGTGCTGGTCCTGGAGACAAAATTTTGAACAATACAGACATTTTCTTGGAAAGGAAATTAGTCTCTAATGGGAGAGACGTATAAAAACAAGTAAACATGATAATTAAACATTGTGATATGTGCTGTGGAGGCAAAAAAATACTGAGATACAGAATAATGGAGTACTCTACTTTAAATAAGGTGGTCAGAGACGAAATCTCTGAGATGACATAAAAACAGCTGGGAGAAGCCCTGATTAGTATGTTTGAATCAAGGGAAAAATTGACAGATTAAGTTGGAAAGGTAAGTAGAGGCAGATCATATAGGAACTGACAGGCCATGGTAAGGCGTTTGGACTTTATTCTTTGTGCAGTAGATAATTATTGAAAGGTTTTAAGTTAAAGATTTACTAATAATTTATATTTCTAAATAGTCGATATTGCTGCTATGTGGAAAATGGCTTGTAGCGGGGGGAGTAGGGGCAGGAGAGAATGGTTAGGAGTCTATAGCAGTAATTTAGGAGAAAGCCAAAGGTAGCATGCCTCAGGGCAGAGATCAGCGAACTACCAGGGGCCCAATCTGGCCTGACACTTGTTTTCATAGATAAAGTTTTATTGGAACACAGCCATGCCCATTTGTCTATGTGTTGTCTGTGGCTACTTTTGTGTTACAAGGGCGAGAGACAGTATAGCCTGCAAAATCTAAAATAACAACTAAAACCTGACTACAGAAAACGTTTGCCAACAGTTGTTTTAGACAGATGGTAGCATGGAGGAAAGTATAGAGACTCCCCTCCCATTCATAGTGCTGTATTTTCTAAATAGAGAATAAAATAGATATCTGTACAGTTAAGCACAGATAAATTCATAGAGAGAAGTCAGACTCTTCAAAGAGTAATGCTGCCTTAGCAGAAAGAGATCTTAGAATCCATCTCTCTTTTAAGAACCTCAACTCTTCAAAAGCTAGAAGGGAAAAAGCTGTGACAAGGCTGGTACAATCACTCTAGCTGAATTGGAGATTCTCTTGGTTAATTGTATACAAATTCAAGCAATGGTTTAGAAGCAGCAGTGTTGACAGTAAGAAGAAACAGCTGTCTCCAGAGAAGGGCGATGGAACAATTTAAAAAAACAGATAGAAGAGTCACAAAAGCGTTCCTGTCCAGAGGATATTAGCTTACTCACTACCAAGTCTTATTCACTATTACTCTACTATATCGTGAATAATACACATAATGGTGATGAGCTGTGCATCAGAGTCACCTTTTGAATTCAACAGTAACAGCCAAACAAGGTAATCAAACCAGATGTCCACTGAATCAGAGTCAACAGAGGTAGTGTCCAAAGGTGTATGGGGAGATTATGGCACACGGCCAGGGTGAGAACCACTGGAAATAGATTATGCGATCTTTATTCTGCTTATTATAGGAGAACATCTGATAATATATTTTACATGTCATAAGTATAATTTATCTTGTTTCAGTTATTTGAAAAGGGTATGTATGTGAGGTACATTTTTTTCTCATAGCAGTGAATAGTGAGGTGTTCCTTTATAAGTTAGATTTGGAGACTTTATTTTCTTCTTTGTTATTATAGACATGTGGCATCCAGGAGAACGATGTCTCGCCCCTTCTCCAGATAATGAAAAACTTTGTGAAGCAAGCATAAAATCTGTCACAGTGGATGAAAATGGGAAGTCATTTGCAGTTGTCTTATATTCAGATTTTCAAGAAAGAAAAGTACCTCTTAAAAGACTTCAAGAAGTAAAATCTGTCAAAGATTGCCCCCGGAGTTTTATATTTGATGATGAAGATTTGGAAAAACCGTATTTCCCAGACCGAAAATTTCCGTCATCTTCTGTTGCTTTTCAATTATCTGAAGATGGAGACTCTATTCCTTATACTATTAATAGGTATTTGAGAGACTACCAAAGGGAAGGGGCCCAGTTTCTCTATGGACACTTTATCCAAGGAAGAGGATGTATTCTTGGTGATGACATGGGACTAGGAAAAACAGTACAGGTATTTATTTTAATTACTTTATAATTAAAATTCAACAAAGTCAATTTATTATGTACATGAGTGGATACTGTATGCAAATCTCTATTTGTACTCCTAACTCCTGTGGTAGCTATTTCATGTGTTGTGTGTGTGTATGTTTGTGTGTTTGTCTCACTCACTACATAGTAAAGTCCTCAAAGTTAAGGATAGTGTTTATTTTATCCTCAGGGCTTGTTTAGTACCTGTGAAATACATTGTTCATGATACTGTTTCGGTATGACTTGGCTTCATTTTACCTTTGGTGATGCTAGTATTAAGGTATCAATTATGTTTAAAGTAGTTTAACTTTCTTAGTAAGACTTTATGGAAGGGAAGTATTCTGACATTTCTTAAGCTAGAGAGCATGGTTAAATTGATTTCCTGCAAGTCTTTTGTGCATATTGTTTGGAGTTTATCATATTAGAAATTTCTTAACCTGAAGTCCTTGGGCTGCTGGTAGTTCTAATGGTAGACTTCAGAGTGGCCCCCTATTTTCCTTAAAGTATGCTGGAATTTGTACATGTATCTACTTTTCTGTAGAGAGGATCTATGGTACTTATCTATTGCTATGTAAAAAATTACTCCAAAATTTAGCAGCTTAAAAAATACACGTTTATACACATTATTTATACACAGTTTGTGTGGGTCAGGAATCCAGGTAGAGTTTAGCTGGGTTCTCCGGCTCTGCATCTCACAAGGCTGCAGTCATCTCAAGGTTGAACTATAGAGGATTCACTTCCTGGCTCACTTGGTTGTTGGCAGGATTCAGTCCCTTGTGGGTGTTAGACTGAGGCCTCAGTTTCTCTCAAGCTGTTGGTGAAGGCCTCCCTGGGTTCCTTGTCACATGGGCCTCTTCGTGGAGCTTCTCACAACATGGCAGCATGCTTTGTTAGGGAGAGCAAGTGAGAGGGCAAGAGAGAACACTAGTAAGACAGAAGTCATGGTCTTTTGTAACCTAAGAGACAGCCCTTCGCTGTTGCCATATTCGTTTCGTTGGAAGCAAGTCGCTGGGTTCAGCCTGTAGTCTAGGGGGGAGATTAAACGAGGTTGTGGATATCACGAGGTGGGGGTTATTGGGAGATCTGTCAGAAGCTGCCTGCCACAAAGGTTTGTGATCTAACAAGATTAGGGTTCTGAATCTAGACTTTATACCATACACTCATTCTGGATTTTCAGGAGTGTTTGTCTAGTTTGCATTAAGTCCTTCTGTTTTCTTCCTTGTAATTGAATTTAAGCTATTTTATTCTTCATGACACCTCCATTGTTAGTGGAACTCAAAGGTAAGTGAAAAACTAAGTTTAATATATAAAAATAGCCAAGTAATGCAACTATGTATAAAGCTCTGGTATAAAAAGCTAGGGTGAATAATTATAATTACAGTGTGTTACCATTAGCCATACTCTCTGTTCCTTTAAACCCAGGCAATGTACATAGTTCTAGGTTTGCACATTGAAGGTGCTAAATAATTGCTTGTGAAATGAATGAATTTACTTTCTCAGAAGAATAGGTGGCCAGAATAAAGAAAGAAGCCTTCAGGAAACTACCGTCTGTGCCCAAGATATGCAGATGAATACCAGAGGAAAATAAATAATAAGGCTCTTCTGTGACTATCTTTACATATACTTTTACTGTTTTTGCCCATTCTAGAATGTTCTTTCCCACGCTTCTTTGACTAGCCAACGCCTTTTTATCTTCAAAATCAGAAACATGAGGGTGCTACAAAAAGTGAGGTACAGTTTGGAAACCCCCACCCTAAAACTACTAAATACATTTCAAATTCTTCTGCATGTTTTAGGCTCAAATTTAGCTTTCATCTCTAGGCCCCATGTTACAAAGAAATTCTCTGTATTTTACATTTCATGGGATTATTTTTATTTATTTATTTTTTTTCTGCTTTATCTCCCCAAATCCCCCTGGTACATAGTTGTATATCTTAGTTGCACGTCCTTCTAGTTGTGTCATGTGGGACACTGACTCAGCGTGACCGAACGAGCAGTGCCATGTCCGCGCCCAGGATCCGAACCTGTGAAACCCTGGGCCGCCACAGCAGAGCGCACGGACTTAACCACTCGGCCAAGGGGCTGGCTCCATGGGATTATTTTTTAAGTGATTTTACTGTATAATCTTATATTACCTGACACACTGAAATCATTAGAAGGTTTTGAGTTGTGTTATGTGCTGTGAAAGTCTTTGAGGACTCATCTTCTGAAGGGTAGGAAATCGTTTCTTTTCTAATTTTGATACTCAGCTGGATTAGTCTGATTCTTGGGGACCTAGTTCTCTGGCTATTGTTCTTGTAACTCAGAGAATAATTTCTGTGTAAATAGGTGGTTTGAGAGACTCATTTAAGATAGACCTTCAGTAGATAATAATGACTAAGCCAGTTGAAGAAATGTGAACAATAATCAATGACTTCACTAGAATTTCAAAATGGTCTATAAAAATAGACCATTGGCATTTACTAGTTGAACCATAGTGTTACCTTCTTCATTTTTTCCCTATTTTCTGATATCATCCTTTAAGTTTTCCCCTTTTTTACATTCTAACTTGGTCATAATATGAAATTAAGCTCTTCTTTTTAAAAAAGCTTGTTTTATATAATAAATAAAGTTTGCTTTCCTCATTTCAAATGTAAAAGTTGGTAAATTTAATATTTTACATTCTTCAAGGGATGAGGATTAAAAAATGTCTATTTGAGGGGCTGGCCCCATGGCCGAGTGGTTAAGTTCGCGCGCTCTGCTGCAGGCGGCCCAGTATTTCGTTGGTTCGAATCCTGGGCGCGGACATGGCACTGCTCATCAAACCACACTGAGGCAGCATCCCACATGCCACAACTAGAAGGACCCACAACGAAGAATATACAACTATGTACTGGGGGGCTTTGGGGAGAAAAAGGAAAAAATAAAATCTTAAAAAAAAAAAATGTCTATTTGATCTAGTGATATGGAAATCATTGGTATCTTGAGCAAGGACCTTTATTTTTTTTTAAAGATTTGCAGCTGAGCTAACAACTATTGCCAATCTTTTTTTTTTTTTTCCTCTGCTTTTTCTCCCCAAATCCCCCCGGTACGTAGTTGTACATTTTAGTTGTGCGTCCTTCTAGTTGTGGCATGTGGGACTCCGCCTCAGCATGGCCTGATGAGCGGTGCCATGTCTGCGCCAGGATCCAACTGGGGAAACCTTGGGCCACCCAAGTGGAGCGCGCAAACTTAACCACTTTAGCCGCGGGGCCTGTCCAAGCAAGAACCATTTTGCTGGGATTTTGGGGGCACAAGCCAGAATGGAGTGGCTGAAGACATAGACACGGGAAGTATGCCCACCTCTTTAAGAAATGTGGCTTTGAATGCTGGCAAAAGTGAGCTAGTAGTAGCTGAAGGAGGATGAGATTTTGCGGGAATTTCTTGTTTGTTTTATATCTTTTGGGGATAGGGGTAACGTGTGTATTTTAAGTGAATTGGAAGGATCTTATTGAAAGGGACCAGTTGAATATGCAACATGCATAAATATTCACATACTATACTTCATATGTGCATGTCCATGAACACACAGACCAACATAAATACACAAAAAGATGGAATCACTACTATCTTACAAACTGGTTTTTTCCCCAACATGTTATTATGAAACTTTTCAAACGTAAAGAAGATTTGGAAGAATTGTACAATGAATACCCATATACCCACCACCTAGATTATCTTAACATTTCCTTATACGTGGTTTTGTCACATATCTATCCATCCATCAATCCATCTTTTGGTGCATTTTAAGTAGCGGATATTAGTATGTTCTATCCCCAAACATTTGTGCATGCATGTCATTAATTAGAGTTCAATATTTATTTACAATTCTTTTATTTTCATTTTGAGGTAAAAGTTACAATGAATGCCCAAATCTTAAGTGTACCCACCATTCCATGAGTTTTGACAAATACATATCTCTGTGTAAACCAAATAAGCCTTTCAAGATATAGAACATTATCATGTGCCTACTAGTCTTCCCACCATCCCCAAGAGGCAATCACTGTTCTGCTTTTTTATATCATAGATTTATTTTGCCTTTTCAATATAAATGGGATCATACAGATGCACTCTTGTGTAAGGCTTCTATCACTTAGCATAATATTTTGAGGTTCATCTATGTTGTTAAGTACATAAGTAATTTTTTTCTTTTTTATTGCTGAGTAGTGTTCCATTGTACACATACAGCATTTTGTGTATCCGTCCTCCTGCTAATTGATGCCTGGGCTATTTCCAGTTTCTATATTTTATGAATAAAACTAAGAACTTTCTTGAACAATCACTTATGTATTCATTTTTCTTGGGTAAATAATTAGAAATGAAATTACTTGGTCATAAGCTGATGTATGTTTAGTTTTATAAGAAATTGCCAAATATTTTTCCAAAGTGTTTGTACTATTCTGCATTTCTACAATGTATGAAAGTTACGGTTGCTCCATATCGTCACAAAATTTGGTCTTGTCAGTCTTATTAATTTTAATAGTTGTGATGAGTGTGTGTGTATATGTATCTTTGTGTGTTGTTTATATACTTTAATAAGGTATAATTGACATATAATAAACTGCATAAATTTAAAATGTACAATTGGATATTTTTTGCATGTTTATGTACCCAAGAAATGATTAGTACAATACCACAATCAAGGTAATGAATGTATCTATCACCCCAAAAGTTTCCTCATGTCTGTTTGTGCCCATGATATGTTCAACACCAATAATTCATCACCTACTATTTTATTTTACTTTTATTTTAAAAACTGCTTTTAGTTTTTAATTGCACTAAGAAATTAATTTGGGAAGGAATGCAAAAATCCCAGATTTTTATGAAAATTTTCCAATATTTTACAGAATTCTCACATGTAATTCAACAGGTAATTTGAAAATGACTCCCCTCTATACATTTACATTATTCTTAATTAGTTAATGTAACTAAAATAAGGAATTTCAACTGTAATGCATAGGTTTG